ATCGACCTGTGACTTAAGCGATGAGAAAATTGACTTTGCCTAGATACGCCCCATCGTAGGTTACTCACTGCCTCTGCTGCACGGATTTCCAGCCTCCACCGAAAGGATACTTCACTTGTCACTCAAGGAGCTTGAGGGTATGTCCGGGTTTGACGCGGTCAACTTCCAGTGCTTTAGCATATGCAAAGGCTCGACAATTACCTTTGGCAGTACCCCGAGCTAAGGAAACATCTCGAAATTTATTTAGAATTTTCGCGCAACATGAAAAACATTTTTTACCTGGCGCACTAACACAAACGACGGCAACGAGACTACAGGATAGTGTATCATCATTTCAAGCTGTGGTACCAGATTTCAAACGATGGAAACCTTCAAAACCACCTTGGATGCTGCCGCTTCGCAACGTGATCCATGAAATAGACGGCATAGAAAAGAAAGCAGACATGGCGCCTCTTGTAAAGGCACAGATGGTATTTCATCAATTTAATATAATGCATACTGAAAAAAAACGAAGATATATAAAGATGGATCATGCACTCAAGAAGCGTCAGCCTTTGCGGTCTTTATACCCAAAATTCAGAAAAAGAGAATGTACAAATTATTGCACAACTCTTCATCGACGACAGCAGAATTGGTGGCTATCTTTGAAGCAGTTAAGCTTATCTGCGAGAATCCTGAGCCACGAAAGTGGGCGATATGCGTGGATAGCAAACCTGCTTTTCAGCTAATCAGAAATGCGAGATCACTTTACAAAATTGGTGAAATAGCAGAATGCATTGCCGAAACTGTGGAATATGCCTCGCGCAGGGTCGCAACATAGCATTTCAATGGATACCCAGAAACATTGGATTAAAGAGAAATGAAGAGGCTGACAGCTGCGCGAAGAAAGCATTGAACGAAGGACGGCATTTGCGCACTCCCTATGTCTGAGACGGATATTCGACATTTCATAACGCAAGGAGCTAACCAGTGTTCGACGGAGAAGTGATTTGATACTCCTAAGTCAAAGGAAACAGTACTTTAGGAAGTTGATCCACACAGGAATTTTTTTCATAGCGACAGATCTCCAACGACACCTAGAGACATTAATCCACAGACTTCGATTGGAAGTAGTTACAAGAACAGCTTTTTGCACAAGATACATCAATCAAACTCACCGGAATGTCATTGTGGTCATGCAGAAAAAAAAATGTTCGCCGTATTTTTTTTTTTGAAGTGTGTTAAATACGCGAATGCAAGAGAAAAATTAAAGGACAAATTAACAAGTTTGGACAGACGGCCCCTCTTAACAAAGAAACTACTTGAACCATGGCCTGAAATGCATCTACAGAAAAAAGCGAACATCTTCCTGACAGACTCCTTAGTACATAGTTGACTGGACAAGCGCCTGTGATAGACAGCCAGGGATGGATATACGTGAAATGTGTTTGTACATATACTCACAGTAGAAAAGGAAGGTGTGCGTGTAAAACGTTTATGACTGTGTGAACTGCTGTAAGAAAACTGTATCAGCATGATATTTCAACTGGTTTCAGTGTGCTACTATGTTTTTTTTGGATTGTTTATTTTTGGGTACCGTTCTGTATTATTCTTTTTTTTCTCTGCAGAACTTCGTGATATGGAGTAGCCGAGGCAGTATTCACGTCAACCTCTCCACAGCAAAACAGTTAGAACGTGACATACAGGACGAAACGATCGTAGGGAATACCAGTGGTCTTTTAACCATCAGAAAAAGGCGAAAACTTCTGGCACGTGAATTTAAACCACGCTGCGTCAGAAATTGTCTCAGCATCCAAAGAGAACGTTCAGTTATTTCGAGAGATGGGAGCTTTTCTGTCAGCGTTTCTTCTGTTTCGTCAGCAAAGTATCTCCTGTCGATTAGTGAAGTGGCTGGATTGGGAGTCAAGCCTTATATTCCCTCATCTTATACTAGAAATGTTGGCAAGATACGCCATGTTCTACTTCAATACACCGAGAAGCAACTGGTTATTCTCCTGGTTGATTTTGGTGTGACACCTGCCCACCGTCAAACACGCTTCAAACGACAAGAAGATAGTGCAATAGACTCTCACCCTCTGAGAGCTATTATTCTGGCCTTCAGACAACACAGGCCCATGACAAGGGTACATTTGGGCTTCGCAAGTCACGCTGTTGAAGAATATCTGGGTCCTGCCCTTACGTGCTACAACTGCCAGAGATTTGGCCACTTAGTGAAGAACTGTCACAGTCCACGTCGCTGCAAGATATGCTCAGAGAACCATCACCACTTGGAGTGCAATTCCGTTCTGCAGCCAAAGTGCTGCAACTGTGGAGAAAATCATACGGCTTCCTACTGTGGATGTCTTCAGAACAAAGCTGCCTCAAGATTACGCTGGCACGAGTGGATACACGGAAGGTCGCCTTACGTAAAGCGCCTCCTCCTAACCATGACACTGTAAGACACGTGGCTCCAATTTCCCACAAAGAGCAGAAGCAGGCGCATAAATTGAGTTATTCTACAGAACCAAAGAAACCGAGCCGATTACCTCCAGTAAGCGAACGACTAGATTCGCCCTTAGGGAATCGGGCTCATCTCAGACACCAAGGCACGGCAGGCACCTCATCGAAAATCAACTCAGCGATTACCTCAGCATCTACTGCTAATATACTCTTCCTCGACGTCCAGATCGGACCACGGATGGACCTTCAACGCCGGTTAGTGCTTAAGCGTCTGTACCTTTAACTGATATGATTCAACCGACGACATTCCCAGCTCTTCGTGCATTTCTCAGCGCTCTTCCACAGGCATACAACCTACCGGAGGTAAAAGAATTACTCTCAATGGAGCCGCTAGTGCCCCCACAAACTCAGTCAGCTTCACGGCAGGCTTACTATGAATAGTCGCTATAACAATGTCTTTATATATCAGTGTAATGCTAACAGCCTTCGTAATAAATCAGCTGATTTTCGTAAACTCCTTGCTGAAGATAGCTTTCCTGTGTTATACATACAGGAAGCAGGTTTGCGAGATGATTTCCGACTGTCCAACTACGTGATATATAAGTCATCGTGCTTAGCTAGAAGGAGCAGAGCTATGCTTTGTGTTACAAAAGACTTGCCATCCTATTTAATACAGCCAAGTGACACAGATATACCCGAGTTTTTGGCCTGTAAAATATCCTTTAGGAACAGAAGTGTCGCAGTGATAAGCCTTTATCTACAGTCTTCTAGAAAAATATCTTTAGACAGCCTAGCTCCTGTGTTTAATATCGCAGACTCATGTGTACCAGTTTGTGGAGACTTTAACGCCTATAATGTATTCTGGGACAGTCAACATATTGACTCTCGTGGAAATGTTATTGAATGTGCTGCCGAGAAATGCAATTTGACAGTGGTAAATGATACTGCTCCAATGTTTATAAGAGGATATCGTTACTCCAGTTGTATGGATGTCACGCAATGATAACATGACTTTCTTGAGGGTTCTGAATGGCCAACGGATATCGAAACGCGCGGCAGTGATCACTTCCCGATGCTGGTAGGACATGGACTTATGAGAAGTACAAGGACTCAACGCTACCCAAAATATACTAACTGGCAACATTTTCGTCATCGCATAACAAGTGCATTAGGCGAAAAACCAAACTTAGAAACATTTACAACTATACTGAGTGACTCTTACAACATTTGCACCAACCAAGTCATAGTGCCAAATGAGTATACTGCAGTTGATGGAGAATACGAACACTTAAGAGCAATCACAAGACGAGCCGAACGGGCTTACCGTCGCAGCGGAAAACTCGAGGACTACAAGATGGCACAAAAAACTCGCGCAAAATCACACCGTCGCTTACAGAAATTATAGGTAGCAGGCGATGGCGACAATACTGCTCGTCGTTGAGTCCTTTCACTCCTGTGCCTAGAATATGGGCGATTGTGAGTATGACAAAAAGAGAGATATGTCGGTAAGTGTTTAAACAATAGTACCACTACCAAAGAACCGTAAAAAAGATGACGACGACGGTGGCAACAATAACAGCAATAACAGCAGCATCAACAACAACAACCACTACGAGAACAGCAATAACAACCACGACAATGACGAGACCCACAAAAACAATACAGACGCAGCAAGAACAACAACAACAACAACGAGCACAACTACATTTGATAGAGGAACAAAATACCTACTGGTGTGCGTGGGAGTATTCAGGTGTGTCAATTATGTGTGTTCACCAATGTTATGCTGCTGTGACGGGCTTGCGTATGAACGAGTACGCGTTTGTGAGCTACGTGATACGCACATCAACATGTCTTTAACCTGCAGAGAAGCGCACGTGGCCAGCATGAAGATGGCTGAGAATATATTTCGATTCGGCAAGCTGGTTAGAGTGTTGCACATACCTTGCACGAAGCGTTTCTTTTCGGGACTTATACCGTTGGGATCTGACGTTCTTTGATGTTCACTAGGGTGTTGCAATTGAGTGAAACTTCTAAAAGTAAGTTAGGTATAGAGTGCAAGAGCAGTAACAAGACTAGGTTACCGTCTACGATGAACAGAGTGCTCGGAAAAGTGGTGGCCGCTGTAGGTGGCGTTAGTGTATCTGCTCAAAACTAAAGGAAAATAAAAGGCTGTAGTGCTCTTGCACACAGTCTGGCAAAGATGTTCTCTGTGCACAGAATTCTGATCCATCGCTGTCTCTCTCTCTCTCTCCCCCCATATATATAGCTGCCAGCTCGTAATGAGTTAACGTGATACGTGACGCCACGCAGGCTTTTGATATATATATATATATATATATAAATATATATATTAGAAAAAGAAGACTTCACGCTAGATTCGTGTCGTCGTGTCTCCCGTCTCCCAGAGCTCTTGTTGAATAGTACAACAGTTTTTGAAGTGAGTTATTATCAAGCACTAATAGAGAATAAAATTTTTTTTCGCCACCACTGAATTGACTGACGAAAATTCCCCCCCCCCCCCCCCTGGCAACTGCAACTGCTTTCGTTAACTGTATAACATGAGTGAGTAAGCAAAAACTTTATTGACATTGTCCGGTGGTATTTAGCGGCGTGGAGCTACACGCACCGCAGCCTAGGTGAGGGCTTCGAGTTCTTGGCCACGGGCGGCTTCCTGGGCGTGCCGGACTGCCCGCAGTTGATCGGCGAGTTCGTGGCTGAGCAGAGCCGCCTCCCTTCGTGCCTCGCAGTTCAAGACTGCCATGTCTACCCGGTTCACAGGGGACAGCTGCACGCTCCCGGTGCACTCCCACAGCATGTGCCGCAGCGTCGTTCTTGCTCCACACGCTTTACAGGCGTCGGATGTAGAAATGTCTGGGTAACAGAGGCGCAGGATCACTGGGTTCGGGTACGTGTGAGTCTGTACTAGCCTCCAGGCAACCTCCTGTTTCTTGTTTAGTTTTTCGTGTGGTGGTGGATATTTGCATCTGTTCAGTCTGTAGTGTTGGGTGATGTCTCTGAAAGTTGTCATGCGATCCTCCCCCCCCCCCCCTTCCACATCCGCACCGTTCTCGATGTCTGCGAGACATCGGGGCTGCCGGCAGGCGCCACAACTGTACAGCGTCTTCGAAAATATTTTACAATATATTGTCGCATTGCTTGACTGGACTTGCTGGATGAGTTGGTGATCGTTCAAAAACAAAATTTAGCACGAAAAAAAAAGAGACCACGTGGACGAAGCACTTCGCAGGGGGCATAGTAAGGGCCTTGATTACCATATTTAAAGTTCAAATGTTTTATTCCATGAAGCCAGGAAAATCTTCTACGCAGCTTTCTGCAAATCTGCCAAGAGATATATATATAGAAATGCACTTAGAACACCGAGGCAGCGTATACAAATACGGTACTTCGAGAGCCGGAGCAGAAATACTTTCGCGACAGGGATGAGTTTAGGTGTTGCGGATGTGTTTGCAAAGAATAAAGATGAGATAAGTCCGTTCTCTTGTTCTTAAATTGGAAAACGAATGGCGTTTTCAACTCAGGGTTATTCTGCAGTGGTAGTATAAAGCATTCAGATTGCATTGCCGGAGCAAAACTTTTGTTTGAATATCTCTCAAAATCAAATTAAGTTCTTTTGGGCTACTCCTAGAAATACGTGATTGTGTCTGCGTTTATCTAAAAAAACAGAACGTACTTTCGGTAGTCCAACAAAACGCACTTAAGACACTTAGTTTGCAAGAAGCGATCAAGATAAGTAGAATATTTATGTATTGAATCACACTTAAGAAAAAAGGTATCTGTATTTGCGACTCGCATGTATTCACCTGCATTTCACATATTGTGATAGTTTTTCTTCTTGTTATTCAATATTGGTGCTAGAGCCAGCACAGCCACTTCAATTTCGAGCCCCTATCTTCAGTCGCCGTCGAAATTAGGTCACAAGTTTTTTCAAGTCGTGAATAAAAAACAAATGAATTCGCTAAGCTAAATAAAAGAACATGGCGGTTCAGCCCCGGCAATCCAATCAGGTTGCAGCCGTTCGTCTTCGATTGTTTTTCCCAAATTAATCAAGTTTTTTGTTGTTATTGTTTTCCATCACTTCACCCAAACTCATTGATATTGATGCTGCCTCGCTGAAAAGCTCCAACATTTTTCTTAAACATGACTATATTTTTTTTCGGAGGATAGACCAGGCTTAGAACACGAGCATGTTTTGTGATGCTGAATTCGTATTGTCGGTATTTTTATTCTTTTGTCAGGACCGTGCATTGACGGCTCTTTTTTGTGTGAAGCATGACAGGATACATAGAAAAATAAAATAATTACGGAAACCGGCTGGTTTAGAATAAATAGACTGATTAAATATGAATAGAATAAACAGCATTACTGAACGACATGTTTGTTTTGCATTATCAGTGTACTTGACTACGTTAAGGCGGTATATATTATCAATAATTACCGCTCGAGAAAGAACAGAACAAATACCGAACGCAGTTTAGCTGGATAATGAATTGCTGCGTGCAAGATGATGATTAAGCAAGCACTAATCAAAAGTTCCTCCTGTTTTTGGAAGGCGCGTACCCTTCCACATCGGTAATGGTAACGCAATAAATAAACTATCTTACCGTATAGTTCTACCAAAAAGACTGTAGTGTCTAGGTCATGAATATTCAGGCGAAAAAATTAACCGTCCACGTGAACACAATATAGAAAAATAATTTATTCTTTGGCTGATTATGTAAGACCTAGAGGATCATAAATCTCCAGTACCATAATATCGGGCTCCAAACTACAAAATGATTTTGAGGCACGCCGTAGGACGGACGGATGGACGGACGGATGAACGGACGACTGGACAGACAGCCAGACAGACGGACGGACGGACGGATGGACAGGCACACAGACAGACGGACGGACGAACGGACGGACGGACGGACGGACGAACGGGCGGGCGGACGGACGGGCGGGTGGGCGGGCGGGTGGGAAGCGGATGAACGGACGGACGGACGGACGGGCGGGCGAACGGGCGGGAAGCAGATGAACGGACGGATGGACGGACGGGCAGGCGGGCGAGCGGGCGGACGGGCGGGCGGGCAGGCAGGCAATCGGGCAGGCTGCCTTGCAGGCAGACTGGCAGAAAACTGGCTTGTGACAGGCTGGCAGGCAGGGCAATGCTCAAAGTGTCTGTACTCGAAAAGGACTACACTCGCTGAGCAGAGCGTGGGCAACGAGCACGGTATCGAATTTGACAAATCTGAGGTCTACGACTTAGAGACCAATCACTATAACCTACTTTCTAAAGATGTTACTCATTCAGAAGACAGCCGGTAACTAACTTTTGCCTCTGAAACAATAATAATAAACTACTGCAATAACTAGTAATTTTGATTACTATTTCAGATGAAAGTCGAGAGTGTGTGTGTGTCAAGACAGCTTTATTTCAGGTAGTGTCGGTTGTGCACTCAGTTCACTTCGAAAAAAAATTGCCCGCAGCTTCCCTCGGGGGAACACTGAGGAGGATGTGGACCATATAATTGGTTAACGGGGTGTTAAAGTGCGACTTACTTGGGTCGATGGCTAAATTGGTTAACGTGGTTGTGAAATGGGGTGTTAAATTGCGACTTACTTGGGTCGATGGCTAAATTGGTTAACGTGGTTGTAGGAGGGGGTGTTAAATGAGTGAACACGTACACACGTATGCGAAAGGGCGGCGCTGGTCGAAGGGACGTCGATCATTGTGTTTGTGGATTCGTTGGAATTCATTTCACCGCGACCTTGGACATCGACGCGCCGTACAAACCAACCGACGAGCGGCAACTGAGCGAGCAAGCGCCGACCTTGAGTATATATACAGCACGACGGCGCATGCACTGTCAGCTGTTGAATGTTCTCGAAGCGCGACGCCACATGCGCGTCCACTGGAGAATCAGGAGAATTGTAGATGTCGAACGCGGTGTGTAGAGGAGGAAGGGTGCACAGATGGTGGAGGAGTGAAGCGCGCGCGGTGTGTAGAGGAGGAAGGGATGCACAGATGGTGGAAGAGTGGGCGACGGCGCGACGGCGCATGCGCGCGCGTCAGCTGTCGAATGTTCGAGAAGCGGTGCGGACGGCGCACTACAAGGCGCGAGTATAAGATGCTCCGCATCTAAAAAAAAAGCTCCTCGACCTATTCCACTGATAAGCTTACTCATGAGGCAATTTGGGTGTTTCTGGATTATACATATTTTAATGGCAGCTTCGTGAAAGGATGGTTATCTCTGGGGAAGTATTGTAGTCGGAACACGGCCGTTTAATTATAAAGGAACTCAGTAATACGACTTTCCTGAGTTAGTATTTAGCACGTCTTTATTTCCGTTTAATGAAAACCTAGATTAATTATGCAAATTATGCACTTGCATTGAAGAGACGCGCATTTCACTTCATTAAAAACTTTTTATTTCCGGTGCAGTGGTCCGAACGAGCGCACTATGCTGTTTTGTAAGTTCAGAAACGTAAAGTTGCCGCCGAATTCAGTGGCGCGCACTACTTAGGGCATGATGGTAAAACCCGGAAGAGTCGATCTACTCCTCTGGTTTTTATACAATATCCTCTATAGGATATCACATAGATGAAATAATACTTCAAAATAAATAGGAAAAAAACTCATTTTAATCTCTTTCGAACTCCTACACTAAGTACACATTAGTGGCTTGACCGTTTTTAAACTTTCGAAAGCAGATCAGAAGTGTCTTACAAAGGTGAGCTGAGAAGAATAATTGGCAGATCCTCAATGGGAATCGATGATATGGGAAGCACGAATTAGAAATGTTGACATGCCACTTTAAATTTACCAGAATGCCACGATGTGGAGGTAAATGAAGCCCTACATGACTTCCGTGTCATGATTATCATGTTTGGAAGTGTCGTTTACATTCGTCGTCTTTTCACGGTATGTGATACCAAATTTAGTACATGTGGAGCTAGCAAAACGGCCTCGTGCATGCTATGAGCGTGGTATGTTGTCATGTTCTTACATGAAACGCGTGTTAGGATTATCACGTTTGCACCAGTCATATATTTCGTCATCCATTGGCGTCACGTAACACCAAATTTAGCATATGTGGAGCTCGCAAAACGGCCGCGAGCGCATCATGAAGGGGTCCATGTACTCTATTATAGCGCTGACACGCACGCACGCTGGGCACAGCGACACTATACGTAAGCAAAACGCGAGCACGCCAGGCGCACCCAGCGTCCATCGGCACGGCCCGACGGCAACCGGCGAGAAATGCGACATGCTGCAATTCGCACCGATGTGACGGAGGGACGCCGGACGTGCTGAAACGCGCATGCGTCAAAGCAACGCAGCGTGGCGCGCGCCTGCGAGTATATGGCAGGACCGGCGCCTGGCGTGGCAACGGTGGCATGACGCGACAAAATGAACACCGGCGAGCAGGCGCACCACTTCACTTGGAAATGTATTCGCGACTTGACTTTTGTATGTAGTCATGTTCTCATATGACACGCATCTCATGATTATCATGTTTGCACAAGTCACTTACCTTCGTCATGCATTGGCGTTACCTAATACTAAATTTGACATATGTGAAGCTAGCGAAACGGTCGCGAGCGCATCATCAGTGTGGCATGTAGTCATGTTGTTGCATGACACGCATGTCATGATTATCATGTTTGGATGTGTCATTTACCTATGTCGTCCATTCGCGTCGCCTAATACCGAGTTTGGTATAACTGAAGCTAGCGAAATGGCCGCGAGTGCATCATAAGCGTAGCGTGTAGTTTTGTTGTTACATGACACGCATCTCATGTTTATCATATTTGCACAGGTATCATACCTTCGTCATCGATCAAGGTCCCATAATACCAAATTTGGTATAATTAGGTTAAGGTAGTGAAATGGCCGCCAGC